CTTTTCTATTTCAGACACCGTGACAGCAAAGACTCGCCTTTACCGTGTCCTTATACATTGGGATTAGTTTTACAGCTATTGAAGCAAATCAAATAGTTTGTGTAGTGGGAGGCTACTCTTTATCTTGGAAAACTATAACCATCTATTCTTAAACACCATTAATGACTCCAGAATGATACAATATTACCTAAGTAAACAGGAAGTGCATTGTAGGCAACTTCCAAAACTCTAGAATTGACAGAGACATCTCACTGTCTGTAATTCTGATATGTTGGGGCATCCATCTTCAGCCTACAGGTACATAGTACCTGGTAGACTTTTCCATGAAGCAGAAAATTTGACGATCTCTTATGTCTTGTACTGGCAAAGTTCATCAGTTGCTTTCTTCTGTCCTGGAAAATGTCTGGATATTTTCTCATGAAGCAGGAGCCCTGAAGGACTGTCTCACATTGTTTAGAAAACTTTAGCAGTCATTTTTCTGTAGGTTCTGCATGTCCAGTTCATACAGTATACCATCAAGCAGCCCAGGCAAGAGAAGTTTCTTGCACAAAGGTGCACAATTCTGTAGTATGAGGCAGCTTGTTCATTGCATGTCCACCTGAACCCAAAATAATAATACAGAAACTATATTAACTGATGTACTCTTTGGCTAATAGCTTAAGTGTATTTCTAGCTAGTTTAAACCTTAAGCTTACCTATTTCTATTATTTTTTTTTTATTTTACCACAAGATTCATGGTTTACTGGTAAGGTTCCAACGGGTGTCTTTCTCCTTCGGTGGCAATATGGTGTCTCCTTGACTCCAGCTACTCTCTCTTAAACTTCTCTGTTTGGATTTTCTGCCTGGCTTTACTCTGTTAAGCCATTGGCCAAGAACAATTTCTTTATTAACCAATTTTAATAAGACAAACTTCCAGCAGAGAGAGGGAAATCCCATATCAAATTTGACCATTTATTACCCTTTGAGTCTTGAGTGGTATAAACTGAGGATGTTCTAATTTACAGGGCCATATGAGCCAAGAAAGATACTTGTCCATCCACAGTGAAGTTCCCATGGAAATCAGAACATAGAGGACTTTAGAAGTAGATCAAGTATTTCTGAGAGAACTAAGGATAAGGAAGTCTATGTTTGAAGCCCAAGTAATTAGGCTAATAGTATTGTGTTCACAGCAAGAGCTTTGAGCTTCTCATAGACATTTAATATCTTTGCTGATACCTTTATTTCACTGGATCTTTAATATACTGAATGTTCTTGGAAGATTTAAGTGGCATATTCCAGTTTTAAATAATGCTTCTGAAGGGATATTATATGTTGGAGAAGAGATAAAAAGGAGGAAGTGATCTTGTAAAATAGTAAAAAAAAAGGTATTCAAATTTGTGTTGAGGCAGAAGACCTACAGAAAAATATTAAAACAAAGTATAATTCTGGGAGGCTTTACAGCCTCATTAGACCTTCACAGATAGAATCTTTGATAAAGTAATATAAGTGAAGAAAATCAAGCCTACCATTGATGTGGATAAATATTCTTCAAGATTAGTGAGGTTTTTTTTCTTTTTTTTCTTTGAAAAGGTATGCAGGAGAGGGGATGATTTACACAGTCTTAAATTCTACAAGTTGCTGCATATGTTACATGGAGAGGTAATACCTGCCACCACCAAGTGCCAGGTCTCAGCCTTTCTGATGACCCAGGTCATACACAAACATATGTGATGTTTCTAATACTCGTATATTTTTATAGTCATGGATAATATGTTAGTGAGAAAAAGGTCTTAATGTGACCATTCTTATATACTCATACATGTTTTGCATAAACATCTCCTATCAGCCCCTTTGAATGGCCCCATTATCATAACAACCTGTGGTGGGGCTCTTATACTATAGAATAGAAAATTCTAGAGAATACTGTGGATTTCTGAAAGAGCATTTTAGTAACGAACCACATTATATATACAGATTGACAGTGTGGGGTGATGGTAGACACAATGATAGGAAAGCCTTTCACAGAGTTGATTTTGAGTGTGACAATTTGTATTTTATTTTATGTTCTTTAATTTCCCATAATTTAATCACAGTGATATATTTTCTGATTCAGTGAGTATAAATGTAAAATAATAGAAATGGGTGGGTTATATTAAGATGTAAGTGCTATATCTAAGAATACCCTAGAATCATTGTCCAAGGCCCATTGACATTAATATGGTTTGTGTAATTATTTCAGGTATGGGAAGCCAAGAATGAACAAGCAATCTCTGTTTACATTTATCATTGATGTGAGCAATCATGCTTCCATAGTAATATGTTATTCCTCTCTTCTGTAAAAAGGAATGCTGGGAAGAGGATGATGTGCAGAGTCCAGGCTTTCAACAGCAGTCATGTATTTGAATGGAGAGGCAACAGCATCTACTACAATGCCAATGCATGGGCTCTCTAATGAATCATGTCATGCTAAACAATGTTTATTTCACGTTTTGTAGTGTACTTTTTATATAAGGATGATCTGTTTGGAAGACACTCTTAACTTGTTTCTTATGAAATAACTCATAGGATTGCTTAAAACTCTCCCAGCATGTCCTTTCAGAGACTCCATTATTATAACAATGTGCAGTGCGATTATTGTGAATTAGAAAGTTATAGGTGTGGGTCATGTGGAAGTTCTAAAGAAATGCTGTAGCATCAAACCATGAGGTCAGTACAAAGCATGCACTGTGTGCAGGCAGAAGACATGATGATGGAAAACTTTTCATGCAGATGGGTCTGTAATAGAGAACATATGGTTTACTCGATTTTCCTCATTTAATCATGATATTATACTTATTGATAAGGTATATATTTATATAAGAATTGAAGGGTTATAAATTTATTATGGCTTGACATTGATGTCTCACTCCATTAATTCCAACACTTGAGAGGCAGAGGTATGCAGTTCTGTGATTTCTAGGCCAGTATGGTCATCAGAATGAGTTACAGAACAGCCAAGGCTACACAGAAAAGTCCTGTCTGGCAATTTCTCTCGCACAAAGAAAATATGAACAAAAACCAAGGGAGAATTTATTGTGTCATATTTTATTAATGTTAATATCATTGTTAGGCAAAGTGCAGAGTTGATGATGGAATCATATATTTGTGACAAAAAAATGAACATTTGAAAATAGTACTAGTAGTTTATCCACACCTGTGACCAGTTTACTGGAATGTTCACTTCATTCAGACCTCAAATTATACCAAGGATCAGACAGTCTTACCATTTCCTTCCCTCATTCTCCACATGAGATGTCTTAAATAATGAGTGAATAGATGGACCTTCGTTGCATTCATTCTGTTGCCCATGGTCTTTGCTTATATCATGGAACTTAGTGCATTTTCTCTGTTGTGAATCTATTTCCTGTGAATTAAAGCATTTGCTTTGGGGAGTATGTTTCCTAGACTAAGGGCATTTCATTCACTTAAATAGAATCTCATGAACTTAACTGTTTGAAAGGGCTTTTTTAAATTGCCTATTAATAAACATAGAAATGATTGTTGTGGTATTTGGGTCTGTTCAGTGGAGATGCTGGCTGTTATTGCAGAGAAGATCTTGCCCTGTAGCTGCCCCAAGTAATTGCCATTGCTGGGTTGAGATTTTCCTTGATGCATGCGCCTGAATTCCATCTGTAACCCCAGTAAGAACAGATATTCACAAAGTAGAATCAAAAACAAATTTTCTTTTAATTTTATTGATGCCCTTACCTGGATGAATGAACCTTTCATCATGTCTTACTAGAGAAAGATAAATAGCAGAAAAGTATGTCAAGGAACACTTATTTGTATATTTTTGAAAATTATTTAATGTTTGCAATTATAATATTAATACATAATTTAACCTTATGCATTCTTTATGTATACCCACCTATACATCCCTTCTTGCTCTCATTCAAATGCATGTCCTTTAAAAACAGTCCCTTGATGCTTCATATGCATAATTGTATCAATGTACACACAAATTTCTTAATAACGAAATACATCCTGTTTGGCCAGTCTACTGTTACATTTTTATATTTTTACGTCTGACCATTAAGTAATCAAAACCTTTTGTGAGTGTGCTTCCATTGTTAAAAAGATTTTTTTTTCAAATCTTCTGAATGAGGTAGATTTTCTCCCTTATTCTTTGCTTTATCTCATATGAAAGAAAAGATTTGTCTTTTGAGCATTGCCGTTGACACTTTCTTGTCTAAATTCATGTGAAACTTAGATGGCACCAGTGTACCTCACGTTTCATAACTATATTCTCCGTTAGCTGATTGATACCAGGCCTCCTCTCATTCTTCCCTTAGGAAATATTTATTTCCCCAGCATCCTTTGATAGGGAAGGTAACTGTGGGAACACATCAAGTTAGACTTATCACAGAGAGAGGGCATAGAAGACATTTATTTCTCAATAAAATCTATGGTTGAACACCTTAGAAAGTGTTGCTTTTACTAAAGCTTTAGAGAATAATTTTAAGACATCTGATATTTGTATCTTTTTAAAATTAAACCTACATTTTGGTATATGATCTGCTTCTTTAAGTATATTTAAAAATTTTTGAAACTATAATTACATCCTTTTCCCCTTTTATTCTTTTCAATCTTCCCATATAGCCTTCATTGTTCACTTTTAGATTCATAACTTCTTTTTTATTGTTTGTTTTTACACACACAGACACATACACACAAACATACACATCCCTAAATAAATAAATAAATACAAAAATCACTTATATGTGTTTATATAAGCGAAAACTCACATTTTACTATGTTATCCAATTAGGACAGAACATTGGGAAAATTTTGTATCCAGTATATCTTTTGGCAATTTATAAGATGAGTTAAATTATTAGCAGTAAAGAACATTTTTGAGCCCTTAATTTATCTCAGATATGTTTGTATTTATAATCATGTGTCTGTGTTTGTGTGTGTTGTGTCATATCTCAGCACACGGGAAAACAGGAAGTGTGAGTGAAATGCTCTTATATTGTTCTCAGGACGGTTTCATCAGTACTGGATTTCTTGTGGTTCTATACAAACTTTAGAAAAACGTTGAACATTGCAAGAAGAGAATGGCATAAATGGAGGTCTGTATGCCCACTGTATGTATATCTCTATTGCCTGTGAATATTGCAGTAATAATACTATTGAAACTACTTGCTTGGTATTTTGAACTTTATAAATCTTTTGTAGATCTTACTATTCCTCTGAATATGATTTTTCTATTTAAGTGTACAGTTTCTCGGTATTTATTCCTAAACATTTTTCTGTTTTTTTATGATCCTGATGTAGGGTCTTACAAGCTTGCTCATGATAATCTCTGACACAGGCATGCAGGAAGTGCTTCTCCCCAACTTCTGAGAAGGTTCCACTGAAGACTCACTCACCACACCTAGCTGGTAGTATGTTAAGTCTTGTTTTATTTTTCCCTTTCCTTTAATAATACATTTCTTGCATGTAATATTTTATACTTTCTAACCAGTTAACTAATTCAATGTGATGTTTAAAAATATTTGAGTCTCTTGATTTACCTTTCTTTTTTACTTAAATATGTCAGGACCTGTTTTGGATTTTGACTTTTTACTTCATTTTTGACTATTATTATTTAGTAGTTGCTGACATACTTGGTATCACTTTTTTATTTATGATACCTAAGAGACATCATGCTGGAACACTGAGCTAGAACACTGAAGAGTTTTAAGAGATAGGTGGTGATGTAGACATGGAATTTAAAGGGCTGGTAGTCTCTAGGATCCGCGTGACAGAATCTGTGTCAATGAAAATAAGCTGAAATTGGAAGGAGGAGGATCACCATTGTTGACCTTGTTTCTACAATTTTACTCATATAGAGAACAATTTTATATATATATATATATATATATATATATATATATATATATACACACACACAAATGTATTTAGGTGTTCATTTTGTAGCACCTGATTCCATTTCACTAGTCTAGATTTAACTGTATATCATATGCAAGTGATTTCATGATAACTAATTTGTCCTAATGTTTAAAATAAGAGTGAAAAATTCTAGTTCCCTCTCTTTGGTCTTCTAAATCAATATTGTGCCAATGTTGGCTATTTTGTGTCAGCTCCTTATAAAGCATAATGAATTTGACCATAGACCATAATGCAATATATATTCATCACTGCTGCTGAGATACTTTTAGCATCTAAATAGCTTTGAAAATTATTGGCGTCTAAAGTCAACGAATTGCTATATTTAAAATAAAATGCCTATTATTAATAATCTTAAAAATATGTTTATCTATTTCAGAGTACTTACATCTCTTTTTCCACATTTTGTCCTTTTACTTCCATCATTTATTTCTCATCCAACTTCTGACTGTGCTGTTCAGTAAGATTCCAATGCAAGCCATGCTTCCTCTTTGCATCTCAAGAAGTTGACACTGGAGGAGACCTCTTTTCCTGAGTTTAAGGTATAAAAGAACCACTTACTTCCTGATTTAATTTTGAATCGTTGATTACTCATGGATTGGATTGAATTCTGGCTTTCTTGTGTTTTGGAGTTTCCTGGTTATTTGAGGAAATACTGGAATTTAGGGTAAAGATCAAGTCCGACTGCGCTCTCATCCATGCCAGACTCAATTTGTTGAATTTAGTCTTTTGTACAAGTGTTCCTGGGTCACAGCATCTGTAAATGACAGTTTAGGAGACATTGAGAGCAGAGGAATTGACATGTGTTTCTGTTTGTCTTAGATATTTAGAATTTGCGAGCAAACTCTAAAGTCTTCTAGCTGCAGGATGGTTCACCCCCTGTAATGTGAAGAATGAATCAATGAGGAGTAATTCTTCTTCCATGTAGATAAGGTGGAGTGTTTCCTGGTCTATTTCTATAGCCAACATTGCTGGAGCTGGTCAGGCCTACACAGCTCGAGACAGGAACAGCAGACTTCTGACAGATCTTATTTTTCAGTGCATCCCAATCCTGTAATGAGGCTAGTGTACGATTTATTCTGGCAGGTGTAGCTCTTATTCTAGATAAAGAGTACAGGTGATCTTTGTGATGCCCAAGTTTATTTTCAAATTTAACCCATTTTATTCATGTATTCAATTATTTGGGTTTTTAAGACAGTGTTCCCCCGCAGCTTTGGAGCCTGTCTTGGAATTAGCTTTTGTAGCTCAGGCTGGCCTTGAACTTACAGATTCCCCTGCCTCTGCCTCCCGAGTTCTAGGATTAAAGGCGTGCGCCACCGCTTTCCAGCACATGTGTTCAATTTTTATAACTAGTTTGCATATGTATTTGAAATATTATCTAGCATTAAATAAGCTTTGAGGTTATTTTATATTTCTTTAGAGTTTCTTTGTTTTCTTTAAATTTTACATCATAAACAGATGAGTATAAAAAATGTGTGATATCAGATGAGATTGGGCACGTTCCGGGTGGTATGGCCATAGACCATATTTAGCCCCTTAACAGGCAAAAAAATTCAAAGAAAACACAACAATATACATAAACCAGATCTCTGTTTATATTCCATCTTTAGGTGGTTTATTTTTCTTACCTTATAACTTTTGCTACAAGTTTAATATTTATCTTATTATCTTTACTACTTTACTCTATTGGTGTCTGTACTCTTTTATATTGCATTTCCTGTCGCTTTACTTTTTTCATCACTCTCCCAAGCCTACATACATTTATCTGACACTGTGAATCATTTAGAATTCTTTTATGTATGATTATGTCCTATTGTGTATCTGTAATCTTTTTCTGCCATACAGAGCTTTTAAAATTATAAACAGTTTCACTACAGCAGTCGTTTGTGCTGGCTCCTCCTCTCTCAACATTTCCAAATGGCAGAGGGACCATTACCACCAGCTCTGGTACCACCAGCTAGGAGCTGTACTCACCACTGTAAATCTGAAGGAACATGCAGCACATAAACCCTTTTTTTCTGAGTAATAGCTAAGTATGCCATATAGTACACTACATGGCCTGGTAATATCTCTGTATGGTGGCAGGAATCTGCCATTCTCTCCTGCTTGTGCATGCCTAGTAGACCTGATTCTGCTGCCTACCTAGGGAGGAACTGCAGAGCCATTAGCATGGTCTCAGCTACTTTCCTCAAGATACCATGTGGGCACACAAGTATCCAGGCCCACAAACGCCATTCCAGTGCTCAGCTACCTGAAAGAGACAGAGCAGTTTGTGTTGCCATTTTGAAACCATGTTTTTTTTTTTTCCTTTGCTACTATTGCTGAATTAGGAAGACCTTTCCTAAAAGAGCTGAAGCATGCTGCCATCATGGAGAGCCCATTCAGAAAAAAAAAATGCAGCTAAACTTTAATTTTTACTGTCTAAAATTTTTTTGCAAGCCCTCTCAGGTAATGTGGATTTAGCTAGCACAAGTTGGAGCATCAATCAGTTGTAGGAAATTGCACTTGTTTTTTCCCCATTGGCCATACTCTCAAAATAACCACAAAAAAAAAAACCTGTCTTATTAATTCACTGCTTCGTCCATTAGATCTAGTTTCTTATTAAGATGTAGTTAACTCTTACATCTTATATTAACCCATTTCTATTTAATCTGTATATCGTCATGTGGATGTGGCAAGATTACAGCTCATCTGTTCCTGGTGGAGGTTACATATAATCTCCTGACTTAGTCTTTCTCCCAGCATTCGGTTTAGTTTTCCCCACCTACTCTATCACTGTCCAAGTCAGTTATTTTTTTCATTAGCCAATGAAAGTAACACATATAGAGAAGGACCTTCCACACCACATGTACTCTTTCTTCTCTCTCTTAAACCCATGTCCATTTATCTAACAACGTGACCTATTTAGAGTTATTTTTTTTGTCTGAATCTGTTTTATTGTGTATCTGTAATCATTTTCTGACCAGGGGAGTTTTTTTTAATGCTAAGCAGGAATGCTTAGGACTAACTATGTGGCTTTGCCTGTTGCTCTGCCCCATCCAACATGGTGGAGGTATGCTTACCAACTCTGTGAGCCATGCTATCTGCCCTAGCTCCAGGAATGCAAAGGATGTGTGTTGCCATTAATCACCTTATAGCAGTCTACTCACAAAACCAATTTAAGTGTTCCATAGTAGGACCTCCTGAAACTTTTTGTGCTCCTGGCATGAACCAGGAAGCTGTCTCTTGTAGAGAAGCCATGCCTCTGCTTGTGGCCAGGAAGCAAAGGCTATCTGGAAAAGATATGCTTCTACCAAGAAACCACACTTGGCTCCATAGTTTGTGGGTTTGGAACCCTCATTTTCATGAGATTTCTAAAGCTTTTTAAGGCCATATGAAGATCCATGTTCCAGACTATGGGTGCCATTTGGTAACTGGAAACTGCTTGTTTGTTTTCTTACCACTCAGCCCCAAATAATCACACAAAAACTATATTTATCAGAACACTGTCTAGACAATGACTCAGTCAGGCATTTTCCTAGTCAGCTCTTATATCTTAAATTAACCCATTTGTATTAATATTTGCATCAATACAATCTGTGGCTTGCTAGTAAAGTTTCTGCATTCTTCCCTTTCAGCAGCTACAGGGCATCACTCTGACTCTGACTACACTCCCCATATTTCTATCAAGTAGACATATGTTAAAATTAAACTTAGAGCAAGTAATTCAAAATAATTTTAAAGCAATTTTAAAGTTTACTAGTGTAAAATAATTTTCAAATATTTAAAAAATGCATTTTCATAGCAAGACATTTCAAAATTCAACTAATAGCCTCGCTCTTTGTTTGGTCACAACCCCACCCCAAAAAATTTCTTGTTTACCTCATTACAGGGTAAGGATGAACAGGGACTTAAGAACTTCCAGACTTCTGATGCTTTTCTCTCCAGTGTCTAGCCAGCTCCTGCTTTGCAGGACAGACAAAAGAGAGCTCCTCAAGTTGTAGTAAGACTAAGCAACTTGCCTTGTATTAAGATTGCACACGGCAACACAGTATGGAGTTGTGTCTCAGAAGCCATTAAAGAAGTCACAAACAGCAGCTGCTCCTATTGTTATGAGTCTCACAAGAAGACCATGCTTCAATGACTATAATCTTTTGAATTAGGTTTGTGCTGCCAGGAGCAGATGTGTCTCATTGTCATGAAAAGTACTCAGTTCTTAAAACACTTTAAATGCCATTTTCTATAGTATTTGAAAAGTTTCAATAATGCCTATCCATCTCTGTACATCTAGAAAATCTAATTAACGTGAATTCAAGCTTGACTGTTATAGATGATTAGCTATTAACATTTATTTATTATTTTTTACATTTTTAAATGAGCTTCCAAAACACGATACCTTAATCAAGAGCAGAAATATACATATAACAAAAATGACCTTAAATTTATATCAATAAACCAAGATCCATACCAATGCAAATCTCTTTAGCATATACCCATTTAAATATAAACAAACATCTATAAACAATATTAGGGAATTTTGGCATCATTCTTTCCAATCTGCTTCTTTTTTTATTGGGCAAAGCATTTTTGTGGGGTGTTTATGGTGATTGTTTGGGGTAATCTTGGTCCAAAAATGACATTAGTCTGGAAGATTCTACAGGTACATATCTTCTGTGGAAACAAAAGAAGAAATTGTTTTCCAAAGCCACATATATTTAGATCCACATTTTGAAGACAAGGTACCTTTAAAATATATATGTTGGTTACTTAGCTTCTCACAGGCAAAAAATTCAAACAAAAACAGCAATATAAATAATCCAAACTCTCTGTTTATATTCCATATTTATGTGTTTATTTTACTTTATTACTTTTTCTACAAGTTTAATAATCGTTTTATCTTTACTCCTTTTATCTATGACTGTCTGTTTCTTTCATTCATTCATTTATTTATTTATTTATTTATTAAAGATTTCTGCCTCCTCCCCGCCACCTCCTCCCATTTTCCTCCCCCTCCCCCAGTTAAGTCCCGCTCTCTCATCAGCCCAAAGAGCAATCAGGGTTCCCTGCCCTGTGGGAAGTCCAAGAACCACCCACCTCCATCCAGGTCTAGGAAGTTGAGCATCCAAACTGCCTAGGCTCCCACAAAGCCAGTACGGGCAGTAGGATCAAAACCCAGTGCCATTGTTCTTGAGTTCTGCTATGTTCAGCGAGTCCGGTTTTATCCCATGCTTTTTCAGACCCAGGCCAGCTGGCCTTGGTGAGTTCCTGATAGAACAAACCCATTGTGTCAGTGTGTGGGTGCACCCCTCATGGTCCTGAGTTCCTTGCTCATGCTCTCTGTCCTTCTGCTCCTGATTTGGACTTTTGAATTTTCCTCCGATGCTCCAATGTGGGTCTCTGTCTCTGTCTCCTTTCATCTCTGACACTGTGACTTGTTTAGAGTTCTTTTATGTCTGAATCTGTCTTATTGTGTATCTGCAATCTTTTTTTTTTTTTGACCAGAGATTTCAAATTTTAACCAGCTTGGTCAAAGCGGCCCTGGGTTCAGGCTCCTTCTCTCTCC